AGGAAATGGAGCTCATAATATTTGCCATTATAGCTAAAAACGCCGATTAATTCTTAATCCGTACCTCAATTAAGAGCATTGCTGGGAGTTTTTGCCAAGGAAACAAGACAATTGAGCAGGCTCGGAGGGAGGGGGGGAGAGAGAGAGAGAGAGAGAATGAGAGACAGAGAGGGAGAAGGTAGGAGGGTGAGGCATTCAGCAACCGGTTTCTGCTCGCCACCTCTATTTTGAAAGCCATCATCCACGATGAGTTTGAGTGACGGGCGGAACGGAGGCTGATTTGACTGAATAGAGACAAGAGGGTGGCGGTGGGGGCGTTGTTCGCCACGTTGAGGCGCATTATCTGTTTCGGTACAAGTGTATCAAATCAAACGTGAGAGGAGATATTATTAAAGCAAACCCCTTTCAGCTGTAAGCTGTGACTGAATAAGCTATAGCAATTAGAGGAACAAAAATCCATCTTGCCAATGCAGATGCGTGTGCGGCTGCCCAAATTTCTCCGCAGATGTGTGAAGAAGCAAATACTGCTGCAGGGGATCATTTAAAAATTAATTTTGCCCCCCCCCCAAAAGATAAAACAGAAACAGAATGAATCTGTTCCACCAGTGGAACTTCCACCGCCAAGGCTGCTTCCCGCCAATCCCGCTCAGAGTCATCGGAAAACCCAAGTCTCTCCCAGCTGACTGTGGGCGGCGTACGCGCCGCCCCTGCTCGCCACTCAATCGCAGCATGCATGAACAAAAACATCCAGTCACACTCGCGTTTACACCGAAGGGCAATCGAGAGTATTTTTGTTAGCCTAGCATGCATTGATTGTGGGAAGAAAGTGCGCAGAGGAAAAACACACATGGGGGAAGAAAAGAACCGGCCACGCAAAGCCAATTCATTGATTTCCCAAACCTCTGCAGTTCGGCTCCGTTCTTCCTGTGGTGTGTCTTACACCAAAAATATAAACTACAAATCGTATATGCTCAGTTTTACTCTCCTGCACATCAACTGAAATAACAACTACAAGTCACCTCGCTGAGAGCCAGTCACAATGACCACAGTTTGTCCTCCCCAGTGAGATTTGAGTTTTGAATCCCAGCCCCAAAGTCAGATACCTCATTCCACTTACAGTTTAATTGAATTTATTTCCTGCTCAGTCTTGCTCCTGGTTTTGTACCAAAAACATGAAGACCGCAGACACATACAGTACTTACATACGTGGTGCAAAAATTGGTGAAATCTCCTCAACTCTCTCATTGACACACACCTCAGTCCCCTTCTAATATTGTTTACAGGGGAACAAACAGCACATCTGCGGGGTACGAACGGTGTTGGAGGGGTGGGGGGGGGTGGGGTTATACCAAAAGCAGCCAAGACCTGAAATAGACGAGTGGCGCTGGTGACAAGCACAACGGAGCTGCTCTCTGAACGGCTTCATCCAGGAGGAGATTAGAAACACACACAGAGTTTGATGCGTGCATTATCTTTCCAGGGATGATCCGAAAATAAACAACAACGCGGCAAAATCTCCCAATAATTAAAACGGTTAATCCACTTCCTGCTTGCTGATGACCGTGGGCTGAGCATGTCATGTGGGACTCTTGCACCGTTGATGTTTCGATGCTTTTGTGGATCAAGGTGAATGCTGCTCCCAAAATATGCGGATTTAGCATCTCCTAAGCCGTCAGAAACCCCCCAAAATATTTTTAGATTTGTGCAAGTGTTAAGAATCCACGTGTAATATATCTGATCGTGTCAATTTGTTGGACACGTTCCCTCGCATGTATTTTGTTTTATATCGACTTACGTGACAGAAAGAGCTCATGAAATACAAATCGGATATTGCGTTGCACAAAAATAAATAGGCAGGGCAAAAATACATCTTTTCTAGCAGAATTTTTGTTGTATTTCAACCCAAAAGATCTACTCAAAGGTTAGCGGAAGGAAAATACGTTTCAAATAATGAATTAGCCTCATGCTAGGAGGTCAAACTGCTGTTCAGTAAGTGCATATTTAACAGTATGTATTTCTATATATACAGTATATATTTGCGCCCAAATCTAGACCAAAGTCATGAGTGCTGAGCAAAACGAGACATAAAATGTGAGGACCGGGTTCAGCGTCAGCATGTCCGAGCGGCTGGCCTCATCCCTTCCTTTGGAAACTGCTGCTCTCATGGCTGTGCGGGTCTATAGAGTTCTAATTAGCTGCATTCACAAACAGCGCCGGGCTCATCAAAATGCCGAGGCCGGCAGAAAGCCACAGCAGGGGTGAGCAGAATGTGTGTGCGTGATGAATCTTGTACATGTGGGTGGAAAAATGTGATTTTGTTGGTGTAGTTTCAAGTTTGTGTGACAGTTCTGTGTGTTTGCTTTTTTTTTTTTTTTATGTGCATGAAAACAATTCCAAAGTGAAGATACACGCGGAAGCAGCAAAGCAAAGCTTCGCAGCCACTGAAAATGCAACTAAAACAGGGTACTCCCCCCCACCCTCGTCCCCTCCACCAAACTCATAACATCTCTTGTCCTGTTTCACATTTGCATGCGTGGCACGAGGGCAAACCGTACCATGGCACACAAACAAGCAGCAAACAAACAGGACATCTGCAGAGTGCTGGTTTTTGGATAATAACGGAATGGCTCACCAACATGAGCACTTTCGAGTACCTCCATAGTTCCCAATTCCATTCGTACTGCTACATTTTGCTAACTGACACCCCCCCCCCCCAAAAAAAAAAGCATCTCCGATTGCCACTAAATTCTCCTGAAGCCCCTGCCATCCTTTTCCCATCATGCTTGCTGATTGTCTACCTTGCCAACATGCCACATGTATGTAAATGTGGTGTCAAGTGCTGCGAGTGGTCATCGGATGCCCCCCGGCCTTCCAATGGCTTCCGCTAACATTCAACCCAATTTACGTTTTCCAGTATTGCTGCGGCGGCGTTAAGCTCAGCACTCGTGTTCTTACAGCAATGAACTTCGAGGATGGAGAATCGTCTTCCAACAGGTCGGGTGTGTGACAATCAGCAATGCTGCGGTTTGCGAATGGTCGCCATAAAGCAAATGGTTTCATCATTATTTTTGGCGCAGGGTCATACCGAGTGGCTCACTCTGCAACCGGACCGACCGTGTTCCAAATGATTACGCACCAAAGTGTCTTCCCCCCAAAATATGCCCACATCTCTGTCTGATTCATCAATGAAAACATTGTATTATTCGCTCAAGAACTGCCTCCGGGAACGCACACGCGGATATTGGCTCGCCTTAACCGCGAAGGCAGTAAGGCTGAGTGGAGTTCCCACGCTTGAAGAACTGACACCCGGTGAGTAATATACTCTCGATGCAAGTGTAGGTAATTATTTCCTATGACAAAAAAATATTTCTTCAGTTCCTTTCCAGTTTTCATTCAGTTTTCGTGTATAAAATCACGACAGTATCGACAGCGATACAGTCAGCGACATCCATTGCAGTGGCAAGCGTTAGCTTGAGCCCATCCCGGCTATCTGCGAGCTAACAAGCAGCTGTTCGGGAGGTGTCGTCGGCAGCGTACAAGAACTGGGCCTATCTGCACTTTTAATGCAGTGATCTCAGCATCTGAAACGTGAAGTGCAAGTTCAACGTAGAAGCCGTAGCGCTCAGTTGCTAACGCGGTAGCTACTGTACATCCTCAATGATACAGAGGTTATAGACTATGTTTATTGGCAGCCACAAGCAGAGTGAGTGCATGAATAAGCAAGTGGCTCAGTGTGAATCACCGGCACATGGAAGGAGGATGGAAAACGCTGACCGCTCCAGCGTACCTCAATGACCTACTGCACGGTGACAAAAGGTATGAATGGAAGACATATTAAGGAAGTAAAGAACTCACTCAGTCACTCACTTCGGGGAAAAAAAAAAAGCCAAATAGGATTAAGTGAATAAATTACACACTCTGCTGGTATTATCTCATTAATGTCAATCACACTCACACGTTTCAGAACAAACTCTCCGAGTTACGACGTGACTGCAAATCGAAAGACAGTTTCCCCTCGCAATCGACAGTCCGGGTCAACTTTCAAAGCGGCCACGTTTCACTACTGTTTGACACCACGAGCTCCACACTGTATAAGAACCACAGTGAATCCCCTGCAGTACATTCACAGGCAGGAAAGAGTGACATCACCCAATCGGAAAAACAGGAAGTCTGTGTCAGGAATGAACGTAAGTAGCTGAAAACAAAAGTCCTCTTCCAAATTGTAAAAAAAAAAAAAAAGACTCAAAACGTGTCTTGTTTTGATAATGACAATATTGACATTATGATGTAATATACTAATTATCCATCGCCTGTTATATTTTTATTTGTTTGGGTGGACTGCAAAGAACCTACACAAGATATGTAACTCAGTACTTACAAAAGGAGTATTGAAAATACTTATTTCGAGGCAGTTCAATACATGAGTGTAAACTACCACACCAATAAAATGAATAGTTTGGCGACCGTGAAATCAAAAACTCAAACTCCAGCTCATTATGTGAGGATATCACATTTTTCTAACATTCGGGTATTTTTTTTTTTTTTTTTTTTAGAAATCCTTCAGTATAATGCGGCCCGCCACCACAAGCGTAACCTAAACGATCAATATATTGTTGCATGAATATCTCAGATCTTGCATTGGATCTCATCAGATTGTGCATAAGACCCCAAATTGTTGCTGCTCTATTCCGCCACTGACCCATACGAATAATTCCTTCACTAGTATGTTTTTAATAGCCAATATATGATCAAAGATTTTATGGTCATGTATCATAATCCTAAGTGACATATGAAGTATAACTCGCAGATATTTAAAAAAGGTCAAAGTACAATACTGAGCAAATACAACACAACGCCCCCCCCCCAAAAAAAAAAAAATTGTGCGTGGTTACCCACTGAGCAGTATAGCAGAGCAGCAATGAGCAGGTGTATGGGAGGATTTCAAATTGAGAGAACCTACAGCTCATAGAAAAAAAAAAAAAAGAAGAAAGCTGACGTACTTGAGCCGGAGAAATGTCCACTCCCCAGGGAGGTCGGTCCATTCTTTCCACTGCTAACAGGAGGGGAAAACATCTAGAAGACAAATAGAGCACACATTAGCTCCGAGAGCACAGACAGAGGCACCAAGAAGAGCACGCAAAAAAAAAATGACTGCAGTGCAGCTACATATGAAAAGCTTCATTCCAATACACCAGGGAGACATTTGGCTGCAAAATAGTGCCGCGAGAAGTATATCACCTCTCGCCTCAAATGTAAAGGTGACATCTGCTTTTCGAGAAGCAGCCTTTTTTTTTTTTCTTTCCCCCCAACAAGAACTGAATTCCAATGGGGTACATGCGTACAACTGGAACTGATGAGTACCCTGCGTGTCTGTTCTAAAAATGGAACTTGAAACGTGTCTTTTGACAGTTGGGTATCAGTTTTGCTTTGGTGGGTTTTATTTCTGAATAGCCAATTACCTCGCCAAACACTGTGTTTAGGAATGAAACTCACATATCTGTTTTTTTAAAAAAATCAATCAATCAATCAATCAAGTGACGGTTACATGCATCCCGAAGCTGAAATTGACTGCTAATTTATGACAAGCAGTCTCAGCGGCGACGATGCGGCTTCAACATAACACAGATTGTGAAAATTGTTCTATTTGACATCTTTGTGGAGCATCCGGGCCGTCAAAATTTGACATACAAATGAAGGCGCCTTATTGTTAGCAGTCGTAGCTGTGGCAGCACAAAATTGAAAGTTCTAATCTGAAATGGACCTCCACAGGCTTTGATAACAATGAGCGTTATCAATCTATCAATCAAGTGACGGTTACATGCATCCTGAAGCTGAAATTGACTGCTAATTTATGACAAGCAGTCTCAGCGGCGACGATGCGGCTTCAACATAATACAGATTGTGAAAATTGTTCTATTTGACATCTTTGTGGAGCATCCGGGCCGTCAAAATTTGACATACAAATGAAGGCGCCTTATTGTTAGCAGTCGTAGCTGTGGCAGCACAAAATTGAAAGTTCTAATCTGAAATGGACCTCCACAGGCTTTGATAACAATGAGCGTTGATGTCAGCGTGCCTCCTGTTGGGCCTGAAACGTGCGCGACGGAGGTCACGCTGGTGTCGAACGGCTGCAGAGGGGCGATGAACAGGCGAGCCTTCATAGTTTTTAGTTAGTCGCGTCTCTGTCATTTGCTAAAAGAAGTACTTTGAGTACTCGGTCACACTGGTGGGCACTAGCGGACCTACAATCACATCGATTCATCTTCCGCCTGCTTTTATGGTAAGGAGGAGACACACTGGCGGGCTTGTCATTCGGTCAGATCTTTGTTTATTGATATCGTCATATTTTTAGTGATGTGTGAATGATAACGTAACTTTTCACTTTATCTCTTAATTAATGTGTGTGTGTGTGTGTGTGTGTGTGTGGTATTATTCCACAGTTCATTTTTCACATATATATGTCTAAAAATGACTCCGAAGCATTTTAAAGCACAAATGTAAGATTCAATCGACTGTGCCTGTGCATGTAATGTATGTGGACAATATGGTTGTTCAGGAGAAACGTGTTAATCACAATAAAAATAGCAATAATAATAATAATAATAATAATAAAGTTTAGATGCCTCACTGTCACGCGTTTATCTGACACATTGAGCAAACGCTCACTTCACAATATCGGTCCCACAGGACCCCCACCCCCCCAAAAAAAAAACTGCATTTGGTTAACAGTCCCCCTCTTAGATTGGTTGTTATTGAACACTGAGAACAGCGTGTGTTACATTTGACGGCTTTGAAACGAAACTAGGAATTGGCATCACTCCGCCATAATAGTTTTTTTTAGGCATTCATACAGTATTTCATATTCATTCATTATTTGAATATCTACCTGTTTAACCGATTTAATAAGGTAAGCTATGAAAATGTGCATGTTATTGTCATATGGCATTTGCATTTCTCTGATCATTAAGTACTAAGATGCAATATTTTTTTTTTGTTGTCTTTTGTTCTTAGGATTTCCTGGCACGCAGCACCACTGCCCTTCGTTGCACTTTCTAATCTGACATATCTCGCTTTCATACCAGGATTAATGGGAGTCCGTCTATTCTTCCTCATTGAGGGCTGTATCTATTTCCCTCCTCCTCCTCATCCTCATCCCCCTCCTCCTCCTCTTGTGACCAAACTTGCTCCCAGAGGGAGGTAGAGGCACAGAAACATGGCCGAGAGCATGGAACACTATTTCCTGTCCCTCAAGTTCACACCACAGTCTTTTATTCCAAGGGAATTGAGGGGTGGGGGGGGGGGGGGCTGCTACATTTAAAACGGGATTAGTATTTTGCGCTTGTAACAATGAAGGCTGCACGAACGGGACATGTTCACGCGGAAAGATTTTTTTTAAACTATTCTGCAAGCATGGCACACGCATTGTATTGGAAAATTAAAGAACTTTTCTTTTGTCATGGGCAAAAGGCTGCACATAAAGGGGGGGGAGAAGGACTTAAAATGAGATATACTACCATGGATGATGGGAACATTTTCAAATCGCTGTTTCGCATCTATAAGACAACAAAATTACCAATGCAGCATCAAAAATATCTACACATACAAACAAAATGAAATCACAAATATGCTCTCACTTTTCTTTTTAACTTATTCTCAAGAAACACACACTTTGTCCACTTGATATTTGAAAAAAAAAAAAGAGCTATGCAGGTTATGCGCCGTGCAACTCATCAATTAAACATGTAAACTGTGAAAGCCAAACAGGACGTGCTTATTTACTTGCAGCCTCACCTATCATCACACTCATTTGTTTCCAAGAATAACAAATGAAATGTTCTTACCGCGCTAAAATCCAGCAAGTCGCTCAGTTCCTTGTCCGTGCCCAAAGCTGCCATCCGCTGTTGATGATGCATTTTAGCAAAATCGCACGGACCTACAACATGGAAACAAATGGAGAAAATAGATGGACAGAGGAGGGTAGACGCAGACACACAGACAGAACTGTAGCCGGGTGGCGACGTAGATGAGGAGAGCGGAGGAAAGACCTCTTTCGCTTTTTTTTTTTTTTTTCTTTACGCGCAGCTCCGCTCCGCTCCGGGTCTTTGCTCGCCACAGCCAAAATAAATCCCAGTAAAACAAGCTCAAAGCCTCGATCAACACGTCTAATTTCCTCTCATCCTCAGCGGGGGAAGAAAGCTCACAAGCGGGTTCCTGGTTTAAAGTCGCTGGACCCCCCTCCACCCCCCCCCCCCAAAAAAAAGAAGAGAAGTGACAGAAAGGACAGTGTTTTGGTGCGTGGTGTGTTTTCTCTCGCCCCCCCAGCCAAAGAAGTCCGAGCTCTCCGCGTCAAGACGCAGTTCGTCCGCCCCGGTTTGACTGTCAGCCTCAAACAATCATACAAATAAATAATAAATCGATAAAAGAAGAGTTAAAAAAAAAAAAAAAAAA